CCCCAAAACCCCAAAACCCCAAAACCCCTTAAAGTGAAATCTAAGTAATCTATAAACTTATTAAAAAGAAGAATATATTATTACTAATAACTAACTAATTAAAGTCTCAAAATTACTTAGTGGCTTGCCTTATTCTAGCAAGAGTTTCTTTAGCTTTATTTAGTTTTTCCTTAAATTTATCTGGATTTTCACAATCATATTGTTGTTGTTCACTGAAATACCCTTCTGATTAATTAAGCTGAACATTGTTATATTAGTAATTATTTTGATTTGGCCTCTCAATCGAAAATATAGTATCAGATCCAGTTTAGTTAAATTTAGGCTGTTAAGAAACAATCTGCTGTTGTTACTCTTAATGATTACGCTATTGAGTTTAGTAATTAGAATGAGTAATTTAGCCAGAGAATTGATTTTATTAAAAATATGACTGCGTTGAAGGTAAAGCTTTTTAGAGATTATTTTCAGCAGGTAATAATTCTTACTAATTAGGGAGAGTTTACCTCTGCTGATTCTAGATTATTGCAGGTTTTAGTGTTTGCAGTTATTAGCTATCCTATTATTTTCCTGTTAATTTGTTTTATATAGCGTGCTTTGCTATTCTCTGACTCAATGGCACATAATTACTAGAGTTATGATTATTTCCACTAATGCTGTTTTTAGATCTTGAAGCTGATGTTGAATTATGACTTTAATTTAGATTTCTCGAATTGCTATTATCATTTCCAGTAGTCTTAATAGGTTGAGGATTTTTACTTACAGGATATTAATTTAATTGTTTAGTAACAAGTTATTGATAAATGTTTTATGATTTGCCGTTGCTGCTATATTAGAAGTCTATTTACTTGTCTTAAATAGGTGTAATATTCTCCTTGTTGAGATTAATGTTAAGGCCTAATTCATTGCTATTAATACCTCTTGATTGGTTATTTAAAGGGCTAGTGTTATAGAATTATTGCATTTTTTCTTAATTCTAAGCATTTTATAAATCATTGGTAAGGCCCATTTGATATGGGATTGGCTCCGAGTCATTTACAGAATAGTAGTCCTGTAGTTTATTATGAATATTCTTGATTTTGGAGTCCATTTCGTGAAGTAATCTTTAAGCCATTACTGGGGTTTAGTCTGAATCCTGATTATTATCAGAGTATTCATTCAATCTTTTCTAACTTGAGTATCTGCTTTGATTATGGAGAGATTATCCGGATGTTTAGTTATTGAGATTGTCAAATGATCTTGATCTATAGCACTGCTTCTTTTCATGAATTTAAGCGTATGATGAGGAGGATCTGTTATGCTCTCGGGGAATTTCCCTAGATATATTCCCTTAGCTCATATTATGTGATCTGTTCATTACTGATTTATACTCATTTTTACTATCATTTAAATTATCTCCTATTTTTGATCTTGAATGTGGTCTAGGTGGCTTATACTGTGTTAGTTTGGGTTCGAATGTACATCCAACTATATCCTTGTCTTTCATTTCCTCTCTTGCTGAGTCGATTTTTCTTTTCTTATTATTCATCCAAATCTCATTTCTTTGAATCACTGACAAATCTTTCCATTTACCATTGAACTATTAAACTTGAGGTTCCTATTATTACTGTTGCTACTATAAAAGCTATCTTTGTTAAAGCATTAACTGAGGAGCAGTATTGTTATATTATAAAGTTTTCAATGATGTTACTGAATTCACAGAATTAGATGTGTTAAATGATTTCTGGAAATTCATTTACCTTGTCCTACTGTTGCTATTATTTGCTATTTGCTGATAAGTGAAATAATCATTTTAATCTTATTTTTAAGAGTTTGGATTTTGATAGAGACCAGAAGAGAGTAAACTTATCCCACTCTGCATTGTTGAATTTAGATTATTTTCAATAGGCGTAAGATTGCTTATAGATTTTTAAGTCATTAGATTTTGGCTTTAATGACCTGTGTTTTGCAGACTATTCAGATTCGTTATATGATTATTGCAGTTATTATTAACAAATTATGATGATGCTAGAGATTAAGCGTTTGAAGTATGTTTGCTTATTTACTGAATCTACTTAGGTTAAGTTTCATTGTCGAGAATCATATCTAAAATTCTCTTATTCTTGTTGTCTAAGCTTGTAATTTATTCTTTTGAGCCAACATTGGGGTTATTCCTCATTTCATATGTCGAAGGCATTTTTTGAATTTTTTGTTAAATTAAATTGAGAGATTGGTCATAGGCTTCTAAAGGCTGATTTGATATTTCCTATGTTTTTTCATATAAACTTTTGTAGGCTTATTGCTATAGATTAAACAAATCATTGCTTGTTCTCAATTCATTTTTAAATAGCGATTTTTAACTTTGCTGATTCATAGTTCTTGGAATAGAATTCTGTCCACCATTCTTCGTAGTCATAGGTTATTTCTGTATAATAGCATTGAAGTCTTGTTTGTAATTCAAAATATCTAATTCATTATTTTGAGTAAAGTTATGATTCCTTTAAGGGCTTAATGAATGTTATGAAGCACTCTGTCTAATTTATAGATCAGTCTTATTTTTCAACATATTAACTTACTAGTAGCCAAGATTTTTCTAAGTGGGACTTTTAGTCATTAACCCCAATTTGGATTATGTGTATTTTTAGTATCCTGTATCCTTAAGCTTTTCTCCCATTATTTTCTCTGAATTCTGACTTATTTTTGGTGAAGACTGCTGCCTCATAATGTTAAGCTCATTGCTTGCTCTGAGGTAATTCATTTTTTACTATTATTGTTATCCATATTCCAACAATCTTTGCTCTATCGGAATATGCTATCTATCTTATAGATATTGCTAACTACCTGGAGTGACATGAGTTGCTTTTGATAATTCTTAGTTAGCTCTCTGGTACTCTTGCATTTCATGCTAAATCTTCATTTCTCTCATCTTCGCATCTTTCTTTTATTACCATGACATTAGGTCACCTAAATTTCTATTAATGGCCTGACTCTGAGGATTGATTTGAGGTCTATCCCTTAGTTCCTATCTCTCCTATTAATCTTTCATTTGTTACCCTCGTAACTACTCAGAATACTTTCTCTATATAAATTCATTTTAGTTATCCATAAAATTTCTATTGAGTGACTATGCGATCTTCTATGACTTAGGCGAGATAAAAGGCTTCTTTTGTAGAGAATTTTTCTCCTGTTCTGCCTTTTATTGTTACATCTACTCTAATCTCCTTTATTTCTCCTTATGCTCTCTATAAAGCTTCATATCTAATTTAGAAGTTGATTTTCTCTATGACCCTTAAGATGAAAAATCTGAGTTAGGAGATCTTGTTACAGGAGATGATAGTTTTTATCTATTTTCAATAGTATTCTAGGTTTATTGAGCCAAAATTTAGGACTTAAAATTACCTTAAGATTTTGAGTTTAATGAATTACTATCTAGCCTCTGCTGTTGAGCAGCTTTTAGATTTTATAGCTTTTCTCTATATCCCTAAGATTCAGCTGTTTGTAATGATCCTGAAGTTCCATCATTCATGTTGTAGCCAAGCTTGGTTGGATTCAAGTCTATGTTAATATTGCCGATTGAATGGTTACTCTCCATTCCTTATTTCAAACTGGTACCATCTAGAGAAGTTTTATTTGAGCTTTATAATTGGGAATATTTTTATTGAAGGTTATTAGAAATATTTGCAAAATTAGCAGTGTTATTCAGCATTGGTGATGCATTTTTAGTGGAATTTTATCCACTTGTTATTGGATTGTGAAATAAGTTTGGAGAAATAGCATTAGCACAACCCTTTGTATTGCCGAAATCATTTGAGCCATTGTTTAATCTGTAATTAGGCTTAAATTATGTTTATTGTTTCAATTGATTTTGCTAGATCTGTTAATTTGGCTATTGATAAAGTGCAATATTTTCTTATTAAGCGATTCCTGTACTTATCTATCTTTAGGCAAATTGATTTTAATTAGACTTAATATGCCCTGTCTCACCCTCTATATTTATATTATTGCGCTAACTCTACATCTAAGATCCATTATTACTAATTTGATTCTAGATATTTCTGAAAGTCTCCAAGCTTCTTAGATTGACTGTATTTTGAAACGAGAACTGAGATGATAAGTGATTTTATTGGTTCAAACTGCTCATATGATTAGATTGCATAATCTAATCATTTAAGTCATTTGAATTTAAAGATTGACTCGATAATGTGCTTTAATATGCTTGGTTTAGCTTCATATTTAATTCAAATTTAATTTTAAATCTCAACAATCACCTTTAAGCAATTTATTCCTCCTTGTGGGGTTTTGGGGTTTTGGGGTTTTGGGG